TCCCCGCACCGCCGGGCTCGCGCGTGGGGCAGAAGCGCACGGGGACCGCCGCGCCCTAGGGCACAGCTGCGCTGCTCCAGATTCCGGAGGGAGTCGCGCTCCCTTAGGGCTCCATTCGCATCCTGAGGGAGGAGCCGCCCCCTTCCGGGCGGAGGAGGGGCACGAGCCGCACCTGTCGGACCCCCCGGGAGCCACCCACGCCAGCCCGAGGCCCGGGACGGGGGTTGGGGGGAGCCGGGTTCTCTACTCACCGCTGTGGAGCCTGTTGCTGTCGCTGGCTTTGTTGAGGGCGCTGCTGGAGCAGCCCATCGTGGGCAGGAGGGCGCCTGGCGAGAGAGCGCGGCCTCTTGTCCCAGCCCCTCGCGGGCGGCAGTCCCCGAGTCCGGATCCGCGCGAACCGCTCCGACAACAGAAGTTCTTTCAACTCCGCGCGGCAGGCTCCCGCGGCCGCAGCGCGCAAGCGCAAAGCGGAGCGCACGATGAGGATGCGCACCTGGAGCGCAAAAGGAGCCGCACGCAGGCGGAAGGACCCAGGGAAGGGACAGCGAGGACGCAGAAGGGGACAAGGAAGGAGCCAGGTCGGGAGAAGGTGGAGGGAGTGCTAAAGGCAGAGGGGAAAGGCCTCTGAAGCCGGGATAGGGATGATGTCAGGGAGAGAGGGCGAAGGGCTGGGAGGGCTCATGTGAACCATCACTAAATAGCTGGGTGGGGGGAGGAGGTAACTGTAGCCAGTGGCTATTCGTTGGTAGACTAGATTTGCGATGACAGTCTTCTTACATAACTGCAGTCTGTTGCCACAAGGAAGTTTAACGCTGATATACTGTTAAATCCACTCTCTATTCAAATTTGGTCAGTTGTCCAATCCAGAAGCACGCATTGCGTTTAGTTGTGCCTCTGTCTTTAGCGACCTTGACTTTTTTTTTAAGAGAACAGATCATCTACGTTCTAGAACGTTTCTCAGTTGGAGTTTGTCTGATGTTTCCTCATGATTGTATTCAGGCGATGCAGTTTTGGCTGGAATACTCAGATGTTTTGTTGTCTGTGGATTCATATTAAGGGGCATATGATATCAATTTGGCCTCCTATTGGTGATGTTAACTTTGATCAGTTAAGGTAGTGTCCGCCAGGTTTCTCCACTGAAAAGTTACTATTTTACCTTAGTAATTTATGAGGAGAGACTTTAAGTGTCCTGTATCTCATTAAATTTTTATCTGTTACTTTTAGCATACAGTAATTTCTTGCTTGGATCAATTACTTAGTACTATGATGGTTATCAAATGGTGGTTTTTCTAATTTCCTAATTTCTACATTATTCTATCTATGTTTATTACTGGCATTCTATTGTAAGGGAGCACTTCCCCCCCCCCATTTATTATTCATTTATTTATAGCAACAAATACTCTGGAGTTCTTACATTAATCATTGGGTTCCGTCATCATGTGTTAGTCTGCCAGGGCTGCCATAACAAAGTACCAGACTGGGTGACTTCGACAACAGAAATCTATTTCCTCACAGTTCTGAGGGTGGAAGTTTGAGATCAAGGTATGAGCAGGGCTGGTTTCTTCTGAAGGCCTTTCTCCTCGACTGGTAGATGGCAGTGTTCTCTGTGTACCTTCACATGGTCTTCTTTCCATGTGTCTCTGTGTCATAATCTTCTTATAAGGACACCAGTCATATTGAATTGACATCATTTTACCTTAATTACCTCTTTAAAGGACGTATCTCCAAATACAGCCTCATATGGGCTTTAACATATGAATCTGGAGGGGACACGATTTGGCTCATAACATCATCATTATTTTGATGCTCAAATTGCCTGAAGTTTGTCATATTTCCCTTTATGGGTCATGGGGTACACAACTGTGGTGTGTACCATAACTTACCATAAGTTTAGAGGTCTCTGCTGCCCTCCCTTGATTTCCTCCTTCCCTTCCCTTCCCTCTCCTGATCCCTTCTCTCTTTTCTCTCTTTCTCCATCTTCCTCTCCCTCTCCCTTCTGCAATGGGAGCCTGACAAAGCCTTGGCCATACAGCAGTTGGTTCACAAATCCCTTCAAGGAAAAGGAGCCTGGGTATCTTTGAGGAAGTACATGTCAGAACATTTCAAGTATATACTATGATTCTTCTTCTTACCTTCTATCTGGGGTAACTGTGCCCCAAGGAGAGAGAAATACGTTGAAAATGGCTAATGATTTGGCTGGATTCCAAGTCAAGAACTTGGAAGGAGCAAGATTACAGAATTGGTGCCAGGAAATTTAGGGGAGAGTAATGTGGATGGACCTTTCAGAATAGGCCTAGACTCGGGAAATATTTGTCTTATATAAAAGCTGTCAAAAGGCCGTGTATTTGTCAGATTGGGCTGCCATAACAAAATACCATAAATTGGGTGGCTTAAACAAGAGATAATTATTTCTCACATATCTGGATCTTGGGAAACCCAAGATCAAGAGGCTGATGAATTTGGTTTCTGGTGAGAACTCTCTTTCTGGCTTGTGGAACACAGCCTTCTCACTGTGTCCTCACATGGTGGGTAGGCATGAGGGTGGTGGATCTTCCTCTTCATATAAAGTAACCATCCTATCAGATTAGTGTTCCCACCCTTATGACCCCATTTAACCTCAATTACCTCCTTAAGACCCTACTCCAGATTGAGTCACACTGGGGATCAGGGCTTCAATGAATTTGGGGGGACACAAGTCAGTCCATAGCAGGTTCCCACTTCAGATGATTCTCTCTCTCTCTTTTTAAGTTACAATCACATTTAATTTTATTTAGCTAGTGAAAAATTTCAAAACTCCATTGTCACAAAAAGATGCAATAACTCACAGATTAGTTACAAATAAATACATAACTTAAAATTCTCTGAATCTTAATGCTTTCTTGCTAAGTCAGTGCTTACTGAGCCCAGGTAAATTCCCTCTGCTCCCCATCAATTATTTTTTAGAGGTTGACTTGGGTATTTTGCTTTTCCTCAGAGGTGACTTGTTAGCCAAGCTATGGTCTCTTCCATTTCCTTCATTTTATAATCAGATGAGCAATAATCAGAGGCCCTGAGACTGTAAGGAAATCTTTCTCATGAGCGACCCCAAAGCTTGCTCAATGGGCTCAGGAATAAAATGTCTGTAAGTACAGGGTTAGAAGCCATGTATGGGCTCAACACCACATTCTTCCACTTAATGTGGTTTACTTGGCTGAGGGCTTAATTTGCCAGCAGCAGCAAGTGACCCTTACTTGAAATGGCACCCTTACTTTGAAGGGACCTATCAGCCATCTCATGGAAGATTGATTGGACTTTTTTGGGGACAGTAGAGAATCTTTACTATAACAGACACTGGACTAGATTTGCTTTTCCTGCCCATCATGCCTCTGCCAGCACCATCCATTAGGGGATAGTATCATCCAGACATTATACATCAATCAAGACATTGTATTCAGTATCACATCTATCAAAGAACTAACTTTACTATGAGACAAGTAAGGTAATAGGTTAATTTCTATTTAACCTACCATTCTTTCCATCTACCTCATCATCCAGACGAAGCTAGACCTATAGAATGATGGGATGGCACTCAGTTATGGCATAGCCAAGATAAAGCACCTTTGAAGGTTGGGATGCCATCCTGTGGTTTGGAGAGTGTGCTTTGAACCAGTGACTAATAAGTGGTGCTGCTTCCCCAATAACCAGTATGCAAAGATCTGGGTCTTGCTCTCCAGGCTTCTCGTTCATTTGGTGAACTACAAACTCTTCTGCTTAACTGAGCTAGTTTGTTTCTGTTGCTTACAACGTAAGTATCCAGGATAATATACAATGCTTACTCTAACTTCCCTTTCCCAGACCACTCTCATTCTTAGCAATCACCTGTTCTGTCTTATTCATTTAGTCATATCTTGATAATACTGGATCATAACTGATACTGTGGTTTTTGGGGATAGTTGAACATTTTATTTTCCTTTTCTTATTTCAGTGGCAATAGCCTCCAGAATATTATATAACAATGGTGATAACTTAATTTCTAATATCTTGTCAAAAGAAGATGTTAAAATATTCATTTTAGTTTTATTTTATTATTGAAGTATAGTTGATTTCCAATGTGTTAGTTTCAGGTATACAGCAAAGTGATTCAATGATATATATATATGTATATATATATATAGTTTTTTAGATTATTTTCCATTATAGGTTATTACAAGATATTCGATATAGTTTCCTGTGCAATACAGTAGTAGGTCCTTGTTGTTTATCTATTTTATATATAGTAGTATGTTTCTGTTAATTCCAAACTTCTAATTTATCCCTCACCCCCTTCCCCTTTGGTAACCATAAGTGTGTTTTCTATGTTTGTGAGTCTATTTCTGTTTTGTAAGTAAGTTCATTTGCTGATACTGTGATTTTAAAGGTGTTATATCTTGAAGGCATAGTTAAATCTTTTTACCTTCAAGGACTCCTTTTATCGTTTTCCTTTGACATACCCATGTTTTGATGTTGTCACAAAACTGCGTTTATTATCTATTTCTCCATTAAGTAATCAGTGACATTTTCTGATCACCATGACATGCAGTGTTACAGTATGAAGTTGATTAAGTTCTACTTAAAAGCAAAAAAAAAAAAAATCCTTAGCCTGTGCATTACAGCTTTATTAAGGATAAAAGTACATGGCAGACTTTTCAAATTATTGAAAATAATATGTAAAATGTCATACTTTTGTGAACACTTAGAAACACAGGAATCCCATTTATACTAAAATTTCCAAAACTGACTCTAATAAACATAAAGTAAGCAAAAGACCAACCTTTATAGACACCATTCTGCTTTCCAAAAGCATCACTCCTCTGCAATAGTGAAAAATGTGCTCTGGGTTCTCTGTAGCCAAGATATTAAAACACATATGCTTTTTGAAGCATATGGTTAAAAATTCCAGACACTCTGAGCTCTTAACCTTTTTGAGAAATGGAAAAATGATTTTTAAGAAAATAGGAGAAAGTGTCCTTATCTTATTTTATTTTATTTTTTTAATGGACATACTGGGGATTGAACCCAGCACACGCTCTACCACTGAGCTATACCCACTCCCCACTCTGGCCTATTTTTAACCCAGTGCCATCTGGAGTATTCCCAGTCTGAACAGAACGAGGTATACCTCGAGGAGAAATATTTTGGATTCTCCATTATTCTGGAGGCAGGAAGGGAGGAATTGGTAGCATTCATTCCCTCTAGTCCTCTACAGGTTCAGAATTTGTGTGTCGCCATATGTGGATTTAGTTAGTTGAAAGGCCACCAACATTCAATGAGTTCACAGGGTCTTTTCACTTGGATTCACTGTCCCTCCCTCTCCCCACAATATTTCTAAGCAGGTTTAATGTCCAGGATTACTTAAGAATATGAAGGCTAAATTAGATAAATAGAATTCCAAATTATTAATGGGCTGCTTCCCGACCTGGACACTGAATAAGTAATAGTTGATGATAATGAATATGAAAGATTTCACTGCTTAACAATAAGGGATGGGCCAGTGTACTGAACCAATGAATATCAGATGAACTTATTAGTATCTGCTCTAACAAGAAATGCAGCCTGTCACTTCTCATTCTCACAGCAAGTACAAAACCAGAAGCACAATAAATGCAGGTGCCTGCAGAATTCTCAGAAACTTGGAGCAGCAATTTTGATGAAGGAAAACAAAAGGAGAGGCTTGTCTTAATTCTGTCCTATCACATTTACATGTTGGTATTCTTTCAAAATCACTCTGAAATGCTGCAGATGAGCATCCAGACAAAATAAAATGTCTGGATGGCAGAGTTCTTTCTGAAACATATACATATACATTGGAATGAAGATTTTCAAACTCACAAAAAGTTGAATAGTTTGAC